GGTCGGAAGGGACCTTGTAGATCTTCTAGTATGACCCCCTGCCATGGGCAGGAGAAAACTGGGCTCAAATGACCCTAGCCAGGTAAACGTTGAGCCTCCTCTTGAAGACCCCCAGGGTAGGAGCCATCACCACTTCCCTTGGAAGTTGGTTCCAGATCCTAGCTGCCCTGGCTGTGAAGTAGTGCCTCCTGATGTCTAGTCTAAACCTATTCTCTAGCAATTTATGGCTGTTATTCCTTGTTACTTCAGGAGGCACTCAGGGGAATAAGGTCTCTCCCAAACCCCGCTGGTCCCCCCCTAGTAAGTTTATAGATGGCCACCAGGTCCCCCCCTCAGCCTTCTCTTGTGAAAGCTGAACAGGTTCAGGTCCCATAGCCTCTCCTCGTAGGGCCTGCCCTGCTGCCCCCTGATCACGCGAGTGGCCTCCTCTGGACCCTCTCCATGTTGTCCACACCCCTCTTGAAGTGGGGCATCCAGAACTGGACGTAGTACTCCAGCTGCAGCCTGACCAGTGTCGCACAGAGGGGGAGCATCACCTCCTTGGCCCTGCTTGTGATGCATCTGTGGATGCCGGACAAGGTACAGTTAGCCTTACTGACTGTGTTCTCACATTGTCGGCCCATGTTCATCTTGGAGTCAATAATGATTCCAAGATCTCTTTCTGCCACCGTGCTTTTGAGAAGGGAGTTCCCCAGCCTATAGGTATGCTGCTGGTTCCTACTGCCCAAGTGCAACACCCTGCACTTGTCACGATCCTATTTTCATTTGCCCACCCCCATACGAAGTACCTGCATAATTTTGAGCGTTTCTGTGCATAATTTGGGATTTTTAACTGTGCAACTAAAATTGCGATTAATTGCGACTAATTTTTTTAATCGTACAGCTAATTAAATTTTTTAATCATTTGAGAGCCCTAAAAAAATAAAAGTAATTAATTCTGCATAACTTTGAATTTCTGTGCATAATTCCCTGGGGTGTAACTTATAAAAAAAATCCACAAAAACTAATTTCCCTAACCTGACCATAGCCTGACCACTTCGGTCTGTGCAGGGACCTCTATGATACCTGTGTTAGGCAGATGCAGCTTGACCCATGCGCATAGCATAAGGTCAGCAACACAGCTCCTTTACAACTACTAATTTAACTGATGAAGTGAAAAAATAGTAAAAATTCGTCCTCATGCCTCTAATGGCCATTTTCATCTGCTGGATCTATCAAAGGAGAAAAACTCCTCACCTTCACCTGTCCACGACATATACCTTTTACATATACCCCATCACAGGACTCATGTACACACAAAAGTTATTCTAGAAGATGTAAAGTATGCTCAGTAGCATAACTGGGGGGGGGGCGTAACTGGGGCAGCAGCCCGTAGCGTGGTCTTTGAGGGAAAAGACGGTATGAAAATAGCTGCCAATGGCAGCTGGTGCTGCTCCGCACAAAGCTGCTGCCTGGGGCACAGAACTACCCTGTTGTACCCTTGGGTGTGACTTAAAAAAGCTGAACAGCCTTTCTGGAAGAAGTCTGTGCGCAGAGAAACCCTCCAATGAAACTAGTGCAGAGCTCTTAGCTGTGTTCAGTGTAGAGTGACAGAACAGGAAGTATGTAGCCCTCCACAACTGCAAGACCAGTCTATATTAGCACAAGAAACGCAGAATGGAAACAGCTAAGGCAGTAAGAAGTGTTCAGTAAGTTATGGCAACTTCTTTAATTAGTTGTATTTGCAACTAAAGGACCACTCCCAGCTATGCTACAAACTATATTTGGGACAACTTGGGGGACAGAAAATATAAAAAGGGCTTTAAGACACCTGTAAGATTTCCTGTATTCTGGAACAGTCTTAGATCTATGGCATACATTAGAGCAGGGGTGAGCAATTATTGCAGGTGGAAGACCGCTTACCAAGTTTTGTTCGAGGGCCGCATGGGTAGCCTTACCCCTTAACAGGTGCCCCACCCCCTGGTCGCTATCTTGTAACTAGAAGTCCTGTCCCCTAACCCCTGACCTTTGCCACCAGAAGTCCCTCCCTCCTTTGCCCCTGGAAGTACTCCTTTCAGTAAGGGGTTTTGCCATCTCAGAACTAGAAAAATGCCAAATTATATCCTAAAAAGCAAACATCTAAAACATTCATTAATTTGATTTCAAAAAATATTTTTGTCCTGGTTTACATGCGTTTGTGTAGTTTACATAGAGGTGATCGCACAATAGCTTAAAATGAAGCCTTACTCTTATATATTGTGGCGGGTGGGTATAGGTTTGTTGGGGGCTGTGGGTGGGTATGGGGTTTGTGGGGGGACTGTGTGCGCGTGTGTGGAGAGGATGGTTGGGACATGTGAGGGGAAGCGGGGTCTGCATGTATGGCAGTACGAGGCAGGGTGTGGGTGCACTTGTATGGTGGAGTGTGTGTGGGACTCACCCTACGAACACACACACACAGTCCCTCCCTATGTGCACACACATGCACCTAGGTCCAGCGATGCAGCTGGGAGTCACGTGGTACTGGAACAGTGCAGGGGCAGGAAGGCAGTGATATGGCTGAGGGTGGGGTGGGGCTGGGCTGCTGCCTCCTGCTAACGGCTCCCTCTGCTTCCTACTGTCCCTGGCTCCTACCATCTTTGACAGGCAGCCAGGAGCAGATAAATATTTTTTACATTTTTTAGGGGCCCTGTGGGCCCGATAGAATGGTCTGGCAGGCCAGATTCAGCCCACAGGCTGTATTTTGCCCACCCCTGCATTAGAGTAAGCTCCTACTTTTGCCAACAGTTTCCAAGGGTTTGCTGGAGAATAGAGTTGTTTTGACTAGAACCCTGACAACATGGCAGGGCAGGGGATCAGACTGGGCAGGGGATCTGATGACGTCCTTTCTGACCCTAGCATCTATGCCTTCAATCTGGTATCCCAGGATCACCTCTTGGCAAAACTGGCTAACTGTGGCCATGGCCTCACCACAATCCGCTGGCTGGGGAATTGGCTCCGTGGTAGGACCCAGAGGGTCGTGGTTGATGGAAGTCGATCATTGTGGTGTGCTGTGGCCAGTGGGGCCAGCAAGACTCTGTCCTAGGGTCTATACTATTTAACATCTTCATTAATGATGCAGACACTGGTGTCAGAAGCGGACTGGCCAAGTTTGCCGATGACACCAAACTCTGTGGTAAAGCATCCACACCCGAGGACAGAAGGGTGATCCAGACAGACCTTGATAGGCTAAGGAAATCGGGCAGATGAGAACCTGATAGTGTGTAACACCAAAAAAATGCAAGGTTCTTCACCTTGGGAGGAAAAAAATGCAGCATACTTATCGGCTTGGCAGTGCTACGCTGGTTAGCACTACAGATGAAAGGGACTTGGTGGTCATAGTTTCTAGGGTCGGAAGGGACCTGAGAAGATCATCTAGTCCGACCCCCTGCCATGGCAGCAAAGAGTACTGGGGTTAAACGACCCCAGCAAGGTGTTCACCTAACCTCTTCTTAAAAACCCCCAGGGTAGGAGCCTGCACCACCTCCCTTGGAAGTTGGTTCCAGACCCTAGCCGCCCTGACCGTGAAATAGCGCCTTCTGATGTCTAACCTAAATCTACCCTCTGCTAGCTTGTGACCGTTGTTCCTGGTCACTCCTGGCTGTGCTCGGGGGAACAGTGACTCCCCCAATGCCTTCTGATCCCCCCTGACCAGTTTGTAACAGGCCACAAGATCCCCCCTCAGCCTTCTCTTGTGGAGGCTGAACAGGTTCAGGTCCCGTAGTCTCTCCTCACAGGGCCTGCCCTGCAGTCCCCTGATCATGCGAGTGGCCCTCCTCTGGACCCTCTCCATGCTGTCCACATCCCTCCTGAAGTGTGGCGCCCAGAACTGGACGCAGTACTCCAGCTGTGACCTGACCAGTGCCGCATAAAGGGGGAGGGATCACCTCTCTGGACCTGCTTGATTGGCCACAAGATGAACATAAGCCTTCAATGTGATGCTGCAGCTAGTAAAGCAAGCAAAACTCTGGCCTGCATCCAGCTTCTCAAGTAAATCCCAGGACGTTGTACTTGGCCTTGGTAAGGCCACAGCTGGAGTACTACATCCAGTTTTGGGCTTCACAATTCAAAAAGGATGTGGAGAAGCTTGAGAGGGTGCAGAGGAGAGCCACACGCATGGTCAGAGGTCAGGAAAACAGACCTTACAATGACAGGCTGAGAGCCATGGGGCTCTTCAGCCTGGAAAAGCGCAGGCTCAGAGGTGATCTGGTGGCCACCTATAAGTTTATCATGGATGCTCACCAGGATCTGGGGAAACATCTGTTCACCAGAGTGCCCCAAGGGATGACAAGGTCGAAAGGTCACAAACTCCTCCATGACCATTTCAGGCTGGACATAAGGAAGAATTTCTTTACTGTCTGAGGCTCCAAGGTTCGGAATAGACTGCCGCCAGAAGTGGTTCAAGTGTCTACCTGGATCGCCTTCAAGAGACAGCTGGATATTTATCTTGCTGGGATCCTATGATCCCTGCTGACGTCCTGCCCCTGGGGCAGGGGGCTGGACTTGATGATCTTCCGAGGTCCCTTCCAGCGTCTATGAATCTATGAAATATGAGATACCAGTGCAGCGGGCATAAGAAACTAGTTTAAGTTATTGGTCAAACCTGTCACCGTATTAATGTCCAAGTTTGTATTAGAGCCCTACAAAAATAAATGCTGCTAACTGGAAAACAGTTTTCCAGTGGAAGCTGAGTTTCAAATTCAGTGTCCTAGAAGATATTAACTTTTCAGCACACTGATGATTTGGTAATATTTTTCAGGGGGACAGAATAGAAACGCTATTGTTTCGACTGCTAGGTTAGCAGTCTGACCTAACAATGCTTAATCTCATTCTATCAAATTCACTTACAGATTTAAAAAAAGTTTGAAGTATACTACTATGGCTAGTGCAAACTGGCTTGATATGGGTACATTACCACATATTTAAGAAAGAACATACTCAAAGCTAAAAATACAATGGCTCTCTCACAACAACAATTTACCTACCTGGTAGCTGCTACCCTTCCAAAACTTCTTCATCTCCTTACGTCTCCAGGCAACAACTGAGCTGGTAATAAGTGTACATGGTACCAAATAGAGAAGGGCTGGTTGTCCCATCTTCATCAGTGCCAGAACAACAAAAGTCAGCACCATTCCAACAGCATAGGCTATCAAAAATACATCAGGAGAGCTAGTGAATGCTCTATATCATTACAATCAATCAAATTACCTGTAATTGACACTAGCAATATTACAGTTGCTATACTATTTTTCTATTTGATTGTGTCACTATACAAAACATCTTAATTTCAGTGCACTTGAATTTGAAATATTCAACAGACCTGCTTACTAGAACACTTCAGCTAGGAACAAGTACATTCAAACTACAGATCAGAATTGTGATAGCATTCACTGACAACAATGACTTATTTATACCACAAAAGAAGCTGGCAGGAAAATACACATTGCTAAAAATACTGTATTAAAAGTTATATACCTATAGTACATGAAACATAATAAACAGAAGAAGAAGAACGTGTCTGCACATCAAATCTTCGACAATAAGCAACCAGAAGCCCTAAAAAGAGAATACCCAACTAAGAAAACTGTGAACACATCTATTCACATAGAAAGATAAATCAGGGTCACATCATCAAATTG